AATCCTTCTGCAAATACCTTGTTGTTTTTTCACAAGGCTATTAAGCCGTGAGAAACCCATAGCAGCTGATGCCTACTTAAGACCTGAAGTACATTCTGTCTCAGACTGCCAAGTTAAACTAAAAAAGGGATTTTAATTTAAATGGTAAACAGGGGTAACCTTCAGGTCATTAGATGATAGGCCTGATTAAATATCCAGATCCGTTTTATAAAATGTTAGTTTTTGTAGTGTCGATAATGGGTGTATGAATTTCAGAGAAAAATAATGCTTCTGCTTCATGTCAGTAGCAATGACCCGATCAGAGTACACTTGCTTTATCTGTGAGTCACTTGATCAAACACATCTACTTTCACTGACAGGTTTGCTGTAAAGCCTTTCGGCGTGAGCGATGGGTCTGTCAGATCCACCTGCCTGTCTGTTCTACTACCAGCTGATTGAGTGTGTCTGTGCCCTGGGTCAGACTTTTTTCTTCTTTGTCCTTCCTTTTGGCATCTTGACCCGCCTCGCCGCCCTTTCCTGCCCCTGTCCGTGTCTTTTTTCGCTGAGGCGCCATCTTATTTACTGCCCAGAGAGCTCTGTGTGCTGAGTGTCAACACAGTATGGCTTCCTGGGGCAGAGGAGCAACCTGCTGCTTGCTAACACACAAATTTCCAACTCAGAGTCACATGAGTATCCCGGGAGGCTGAGGTGTGTTTACCTTCGCAACAATAACTATACGTGCGCAATTAGGAGTCATGGAGAGCGGGACAAAACAGAAGTAGGCAATCAACACTGTGTAGTAGGAGCCTGCCAGTGTCGCACAAAGTTAGAAAACGCTCTGATGTCACAGAGAGGTACAATAGAAGGCCAGTGGACGTTCACACTGACAGAACATGACAGTATTCACTCAGGTGAACTTTACAGTTAGTTGGGTTTGACTGGGAACATGGCCCCCGGTGGAAAAACTGCAAGACAATTCCAACAGCAGCTTCCTGTGACCTTTGACATGAACATGTAGGTAAAACGAGGCAAGATTCAAGCTCTGGGTACAGCGCCTTGTAAAACTATTTATACGCCTCAAACATGTTACCAGCAAAGATGCTTTTCTTTTTTATCACCCACTTATCTTCTCTCTCATACCCCTGAATATTACCCAGTGCAACAAACTGCCCGCAGAACATACATGATTATTAAATCTAGCTGTCTGTGATTTAATAATTGAATAAATCCAACTGGTCTGTGAAGGCTTTAAAGGTTTGCAATTGGTGAACACATGACGTCCTAAAGGACACAGTTTGAGATATACCAATTGTTTAAAATACACTGTTTCTAATAACCACACAAAATCTTTATCAAATGCAGTAAATTGGCCCCTTTTCAATATTACTCCTCCAAAAAGGTGAAAGCAGAAACAGAATAATGCCAAGCATAATTAAAAGAAACTTCAAGTTAATGTGCTACGCGGAGGTTTTCAGTAGCGCAGGTCTGAGGATAAAAAAAAAAAAAAAAAACAGAACTGGAGTGAAATTCCTTCAGTAAATCCCCTCCTTCCTCTCAGTAATTACAGACTCCCTGGTGACAAACTACAGGTCTGCTGTGTTTGTTTTTGCCTTCTTGGATAAAACAGGTGAAGAAATGCCTATGTATTCTGGGCAGGATGCCAGTCTCTTTCTGGTTCTGCTAGCTAACCAATATTTAACTCGATGCTACAAAAACACTAAGGGAAATGCCCAAAAGAATTGTCCCATTTGACAGAACTGTTTGTATTCAAACTCCTTTGTATGCCTATCAATTTTAAACCTTACACCATCCCATGAAAAAGACTTTTCTGCCCTAAAAAAATTGCATGGGCCAAAATTTCTCAATTGTAAACTTCATTTGGATGATTTATTTTGAGAAGTACCAAAGATTTGATGTATTGAACATCGGATTTACTTTGGTTTGAAAGAGGAGGCGGGATGTGAGGGATGAGAATTTGATGCAAGGAGGACCGGATCAATCTTTTATCACTGCAGTGTGCTTTCATCCCTAATGGATCCGGCATGAGCAGAGAGCGGCGCTGCTTTCCATCACATTGCACAGGCAGGGGAAGGGCACCGAGAAAGTACGAGAGCAGGAAAGGTAAAGACGGCAAAGAAGAAAAGCGATGGGACCCGCCTTCTCAAATATATATTGGAAGCTTCATCTTTTTCCATCTGGTCATAGTGTTTCTCCTGCAGAGCATCTGCAGGAGGAAGGAAACACGGCTGATAAGAATGGCAAGAAATTAAATCACCTCTCAGCTTGAAGAGTGATTCAGAAAGTTCCCATCAACACTCCCAAAAGATAACTCGCTGAGTTCAGGCAGACCTGCTTTCTCTGCCATCCGAGCTGAGTGACGGACAGACGCACCGACAGAGATAGAGACTGCTCTGGAAAAAGAGGGAGTCCATCTGCGTATTCAAGCATTAAAGGAGCATTAAAAATAACACAGGAAAGAACAAGGTAGGAGCTCTCTCAGAGGACGTTCTGTTCTCTTCATGCTAAACAGCCTAATTCATGCTATGGGAAAGAACAAGTATCGAACCAGTGAGGTGGACATCAAGGGAGAGGAGCAGAGAGAAGAGACATACAAACTAAACAAGACTTGGAGAAAAAAAAAATGTAAAAGTTTTATGGTGTTTTCAGCTGTTGACGACTTCACAGTTATCAACCTGCAGGTTTATCGCTTTAGTTGAACTGCTTATGGCGTTGCTAAATAAGAGAGAGGGTATTACATCATCATGTCCCTGTTTTTTGTTATCAAAGAAGCAGGAACACATGGTGCCTCTAATCAAAAACAGAAAAAACTCCTGCTCTTTCAGTTCGTTCAGTTTATTGTAACTAAGAGGAACAAAAATACTTCCAAAGCTAGGAACTTTCGCTGAGAGAAAAAGGCTCAGTTAGGTACTTTCATAATAAGTGAGGTGTTTTAAAATAAAGCCAGGAGAAGCACAGATATTTAACTGAATTGTAAGTAAACAACAAATAAGAGAAAACAAGAATTTCAGTAAGTAAGATAAAGTTAGAACAGAGTATAACAAAGTTACTTTTACTGATCTTTTTGAGATATCGACCTCTGCCAGTAGTCATGCTGAATCTTAAAATGTTTTGAAATCTTCAATGCTAATGATTAGAGATAGATTAATACAGTTTTTGTTAAGGCCAATGCTGGTTATTTAGACATCACACCCCCACTAGGACTGTTCTCCCTGCTGGCCCTGGGAAGAGGCTTTGCAGCATTTGCTGCAGGACCAGCAGGTTCTGCAACAGCTTTTTCCTCACATCCATCAGACTGTTGAACTCTAAACTGGACTCTGATCACACTTGCAACACTATTTGGCACCACCAATGTGGCTGACAACTTTTAGAATAATTTTAAATAGGACATAACTGAATGTCTACTGCATTTTGGGTTCAGTGCTGAACCTTTCTGTGTTAATGCCCTTTTGCACCATTATTTTTTTTAACTGGTTTTCCTTTTCTCCTACACTGTTTACATCCTGATCACTGCTGCACTGGTAATCTTTATTTTATTGTTGTAAGCTGCTCATTTCACTGTTATAAGGTGTAATTTCCTTTTCTATACTCTGAGTGGGTACAAAATGACAATAAAGTTTGTCTAAGTCTAAGTTTAACAGATTTGACATGCACTGCTTTTTTGGGCCAATTTCTGAAGCCAATGTTTCTTTTTCTTCCTCCATTTAAAACTGACACAAAATAAGAAATTTCAAATGCTGTTTCATTCAATCCAAATTTTTAATATGTGTTTGCTGTAATATTCTAATTTCAAATGGCTTGTTTTTATTTGCTTTAAGCATAAATGATAAAGGCTTCAAACCATCACTCTACTGGTAATTTATCTGTATAATGTTTTCTTAAATTAGTTACCAAATTAATTGAAGTTTTCATTCATAATCTCATTAACTTAATATGACTAATTAATAAATTATTTTCACAGCTGAAAAGTAAGAAAAAATATTCATAAGCCTATTTATATATGTTATATTTCTTTAGGAAAAGTTAAAACTTTAATATTGAAAATTTAACACAAGTCTTATTAGTACATCTGCACTCGGAAAAGAAAAAGAAAAGTTTAAACCCAAACTTATCAGGAATTCATAAGATGCATGTTTCGGTGCTCCTTAAGTTTGACTTTGTAAAGTTAATACTCAAATATGCATATTGGAAATAATTAAATAACAAAAGTTATCTGAAGAAATGCACTTAGGGGTATTCTTTAGTCATTTCCCTCCATACTAACATTTATTATCCTGGCATTATCTATCTGGAAACGGGTTAGGAACAAGAACAATATTGAGATAAGACAAGGTATCTTTATTTAACTCCCACAGTTTGTTGGGGGGAAAAATAATTACCCCATGGGAGAGTGCTGCTGGGGTTCCAATCGATGGCCTTGATTGGATAACAACTGCAGCCTGCTAATGAGCTCCACTGACTGACACGTAGCATGCAGGGAATTTTTAAACAAGATCTTAAGCCATGCATATAAGCAAGCCGGTCTTTAAACAGCATGGAGTGAAGTGATTTGATGCATTGAATTTGCATATTGTTGGCATTTGGCAACCTGCAGATACAATCTCCCCATGTCTTTAAAGGTAATTTTCAACATGAATAAAGGCTTAGAAACTCTGGATATTGAATAAATTAAAAAAATAAAGATTTACATAGAGTTAAGTTTCAACCCAAACAGGTTTGAGTTCTTTTGTTGTTCACCAGAGCACTTGGGTGGCGGGTCTAGCTTCAACAGGTGCGTACATGTAAAGACACGGTTCAACTTGGCAAAGACACAAAACAAAATCATCTTTGTCTCTCTGCTCATCACAAAAAACACGTGCAGTAAGTTCAACTCATTTATGATCATTTTTCTACCCATTTCTATGCAGACATGCTGTCAGATCAGCTGATTTCAGAGAAAGTTATTTTTTTTAACACAGCCCATTCCCAGAAACTTTCAAACACCAAGAATCCCCCACACTTACCTTCCTACTCTTTAGAGCTTTAAACTCCCAGTCTGCCTTTATTCTCTCCCTCCTTCTTACTCTGTTGGGGAAATCCTTCCCTTCTCACCAGGCAGCTGTTCAGCTGGAGAGTGAGGAAGCCTGCCAGTGAGTTTACGTCTGTGAGGAAGCATGAGATTCTAGCAGAGGACAGTCAGATGGGGATGTAGATGGAGTCACTGCTTCTCCGTTTCTGTCCGGCTTGCTGCCTCAGGAATGCACTTCTTTCTGGATGTCCTCACCACAGAGGTCTGCCTGACTGCTTCTCTCTGTCTGCACTGCTCCTCCTCCCTCTGTGTCTCTCACCCACACAGAAACACACCCTCTCTTCCCTCTCTCTCCCGGTCTCTCCACCCTCTTTTTGTATGTGCTCTGCCTGATCAGATACCTTTCCTTCTTTCAGGGATTTGAAAGCCCAGTTTCTTCTTGCCAGTATCAGTTTCCTTACCTTTTCTTTTTCTATTCAATCTGTCCCATTCAGACAGGGGTCTGCTTACAGAAAACCCAAAAAACTGAAAACCCCCGGCACAGGTTTACACATCTACCTCTAATATTTGTACGGTCAATAATGTTGCATCCATGTTCCACCCTCCAGTTACATAATCAGCTGATGATAACACAAATGAGCCTGTCAGGTGATTCTCTCTTCCTTTTCCTGGAGTGAGGTCATATTCCAAGCGGCCAGGTAGAACAGGAGAGAGTTTTCATTTGAGTATTTGAGCTGGACAACGCCCTTAGAAAAAGAAGGGACACTTAATCTGCTGCACTTAAACCTGACCACTCAGATGCAGAGAGAAGTGCCTTTAAAAGAAGGCAAAGGTGAGACAGAAAAAAAAAACAAGTAGAAAATGTTTAACAACTTTTTCAAAGAAATTCCTGGACTTCAGCCCTGTGCTCACTTCCCCCTCCCATTCACAGACACACATGCAGAGCTGAGTAATGCATGACCAATGCGCTGGGCAGATTGTGCGCGGAGCCTCTCATTGGCTCTTTGTGAACATCTCTCTAAGCAAGGCAGGGATAGTTTACTTGTACAGAACCATTTACATGCAGGGTAAATCAAATAATATTATATAAAGATCAAAGCAACATAAGGAAGGAAAAAATAGTCTTCTTAAATCTTACACTCAAATAAAACCCAGTTCATTTACCCTAAAAAACATTAAACTAATTATTATTCCAAATGGTAATCTGCAAAATTGAGAAAGCCTTTACATTTTAAACTGCAATTTAAAGTGGTTTTGAAAACACCTAATAAATGTAGATAAGCATATAAAGCTTTTATCAGCTTGAAAGTATTCAAAGTATTCTTTAGCCTGTCATGTGTATAAAACAAAGATTTTAAACGTGTTTAAAAGTTATTACAATGTTCATTAAGTACAGCTCAACAAATAAAGTTTTTCAAGCATTGCAAGTCAAAGGATTTATATTCTTGCTTCAAAAATAAATATGATGCAAACCTTCTTTTATACTGGTCACTGTTAATTTGCCATTTTGTAGTTTTGCCGCTTTTGTCTGTTGGTTTTAAGTTTTTACATCTGTAAAAGAGCTACCTCTCATAAGATGTTTTGTTACAGACATACATCAGTTACCTGTTTGTCATCTAGCTGCAGCATGTATACATGCAAATCATAGTTTGGACAATTCTTCAGTAATGGACACAGCTGACAAACTCTGGCTTCTTTATGCAGACGAGCTTTGAAATTTACTCTTTAAGGTGTATTTTATGTATGTTTTTATAGATAAACTGAATCAAAAATATAGTCCTTATGTTAGACTTTTATTATGTAGCAAATAAATCATGACCAAATGCAAATAAGAGGAGTTTTTGTTTTAAATTTTATCCACATACCAATATAATTTGTATGAGCAAAAAGAAAGGGGCGAATTAAATAGATATAAATAAGCTGCCAAAGTGCAGAATTCAAATGTAAGGTCATGATATAAGGGATATCAATACGACATCATGTCTACTTATGTCAAATATTATTTTATACAAAATATTGATAAATGAACAAAATCTATGTCAATTTGGAAGTGCAAACTGATCTGACTATTTAGGTGCAGAACTATAAACATGAGTTAAATAATGTACTTTGAGAAATATTAGGTGACTTTAATAAAAAAAAAAGTAAACTGAACTAGGAAAAAAGAATTTTAGAGGATATTTAAACAATTTTGCCTGAATAATTGATAAAAATCAGTAAAAAAACACAACGCTACAGAGCTTGATTAGTTTAGCCAAAGGTGGAATGGTGAATTATGGCCAAAAACAATACATGCATTTTTTCCTTTTAAATCTAGATAACACATTGACAAAAGAAGGAATTTGGTCTAAACTGGTTCTCTCATTTATTTACTTGGCTTCCATTAATAAGTCACGCACATTAGAGAATAAAGAATTAGCAAGCAGTCAAATATAAATATATAAGCAATAATTATTCAGTGAATATATAACAAAAACAATCAGTAGCAAAATACTCTTTAAAACTATACACTGCATTTCAGGATCTATGCGACAACTAAGTGCCAGAAGGCCATCAAGACTAATTAGTCATTCTCCATTTTTTCTCCTCTGTCTGATGTCAGATTTATTTTCAGCAAACTAATGAGCCCAAGCAGTCGCAGCACCTGATAACCAGTGTGCACATTGCATAAAGCAGAAGTTTTCCAAAAATAAATGGCTTGCATTAATTGCATTAATTAGAAGAGCTAAATCATCCAAACAAAAGACCACTGTGAAGAACGCTGCAGCTCTAAACCAGGCTGAGTCACAGAGCCCCAATCGAGAGGCAGTTCACAGTTACGTGAATTGCTTTACCATTCTGTCTATAAAGCTGAGCTTTTGGCACGTCTAAGAGCTTTGTTGTCACACAAATCCCTTAAACAACTTTGTTGAATCATACCAGGAGGAAGAACCTCTTGAGGCAGGGTTTATACCAAAGGCCATTGTGAGAAAAATCCAAGGTGCCAAGCAGAAGTGACATTTTAACATCAGGGTATTGGGGAAGTAACTGCACTTTATGGGCCCCTGACAGGCTTATGTGATTCTGCTACGACTCATTCAGTTCATTTAGAGGGGAGCGAGAAGCATTATGATGTAGAGGATTATTGGTCCAAAGCCGCCCAGATTTTGCTGACACCTTCCAGGCATTCCTCAGGGCACCTCCCACTGCTGCAACCCCCCCACCACCACACACACACACACACACACACTCAGCAAACCCTCCCCTGTCAATCTCCTGATATCTTTCCTCTTTCTGTGGGACTAAAATTCTTCCCCTCCTCCAACCCTCCCATTGCATTAAGGAAAGAAGCTAGAGAACAACAAAATGATCTATATCTATTATATTTATTTATCACCTATATAATTCACAAAATTAAACAGACAATTCTCTCTTTAGACTTAAATTACAATATGTTAGGTAGATGATCGCTAACAAAACTGTCTAAAAGTCGTTATTCAATAGTAACCCAGTACATGCGTAAGAAAAAAAGGCTCTTGGAAATAGAAATGGTCTGCTTGAGTATGAGAGTGATGAATGAAACATAAAAGGGGGGAACATGCTGATTGTGTCTCTGTTCGTTATTATTCACCATGCCTGAAAAGCATTAAGTTTACCTAAAGGATCCTCCCTTTCTCTACAGCTGACCCAGTTTATATTTCTTTCAATTCGTTCCATCTTTCAAGATAAACAACTTCAACATGTGGGCATTAAGCAATAAAAGGCTAAAACGAGGCCAGTGAACAAAGCTAAAACTGGAAACAGCCGCTCTATTCTGAAAAGCATTTCAAAACTTTTGTTGACTTCGGTTTTCAAGCTACAAAAGGTTTTACCAAACAAGCCTAAATAAAGCTCTGACGTGTCATTATGGTCAAACCAAAGCTATTACTTTAGACATTTGGCTGTGTCATGTATATCATTATGACAGGGTAGTGTTTACCACAGCAAGGCATGAGCTACATTGAGGACTAATGGAGACTTTTTCCTTTCCAAAGAGTAGCATTATGATTTTACTTCACCAATAACAAATTGTTTGATGATTATTTACATGACTTTGAACATCTTTATACTTATACAACTTTTTTTTTACATTTTGTCATATCACAACCAAAGCCTTCCACATATATTCTATTGGGATTTGATGAGATTACACAAAAAATTGAAGTAGCCTGAGAAGGACATTATTTTTTTAGTTCTTTAACAATATAAAAAACTCATAAAAAGTGTGGATGCATATGCATCTAACCTTTTTTTTACATGTGGAGGCAATACTGTAACTGGAATTGCAGCTTAAATGTATTTCCACATTGTTCTACATGTATTTAAAACACAATATTTTCCCCATCACCTGTTCTCAGAACCAGCCCAGATTGGACTCAAACAGAGAAGCCATTATTCAAAAAACCTGCTATTGCTTGTTTAAAGGGTATAGTTTAAAGAAAACAAAGTAAATATGGTCTTTTATTGTTTTTTTTTAAGTGAATAGGTTAGAAGTAACCATCTTTGGATAAAACATGTATTAATTCAACCTTTTTCATCCATTTTATCCAAGTCAGTGCTTTATCATTTCACCCTGCAAAGGTGAAAGCCACTTGGTTTGAGAATTCAGCGTCTCTTGAGATAACAGTGCGCCATTAGTGTCACACTGTGCCGCCCTGTGGTGGTGCTATCTGTAAATGGAAAAAGGATAAAATAGGTCTAAGCCTGAAAGCTGGGACTTTCAGAGACTTCCAATTTTTTAGCCAAAGTTGTGACATTGATGACAGGTCCTAGAGTGCCTTTCACATCTTATGGCATTTCTCAAACAAACAAACAAAAGGGAGATGAGTCAATAAAATTGCCAAAAGCGTCTTAAAACAATTCTCATGTCCAAGCACAGGCTTTATCAGAACAAAGAGGATGACACAAACAGCAATCTTTATCTGAACTAATAGTGTGTCCACTGGAAACGAGCAAAACAAAGACATGAAACATGACTTAGGACCTACAAAGTGGACCTGATAAACGATGATTGGTGACATGAATGAAGAACTAGAGAAGTAGGCCTCTCCTTGGAAAGGAAATCCTGCTTTATGATGAGAGCTTTAAGGTGGGTTAAGGGGTCAAATGTGAGAGGTAAAAAAAACAGCAATGCAAGCCCACCCTGGACACACTCACTAACACTCACCCAGACGTTTCGTCTCCACCAAAATCTGCTGCTTCTACTTTGTTGCCCAACATATCTTTGTAGAGCCTTCATTTTCTGTATTCATCCTCCCTGTCCACTGCTCTCCTTCC